TGAATGTAACGTTTTTGCCTTCTCCACTTCAATTTTATATTAATCATCAAAACCACTGCTTTTCTAACATCAATCCCATGTGTTACACCCATTTCTTTCTCCATATTTTTCAAACTTTTCTACTCCAAAACCAATTCTCATTTCTTTTATTTCCAAATTCAAATCATTTACGTAATTAATACGTTGTTGACTTCTTTATATACGGTTTAATGTCACTAAAATTAATCTCCCAAAATCTTCATTGAATATACTAATAAACTTTCATTTCCAATAATATGAAATAATGTTATTTGTAGACTGAAAATATTTTTATTACATGTAAATATTGGACACGTAAAACAAATAATTCATTCAAGATACAAAAAATATATGAAGTTGTTTTATATGTGATTAAGCGTTGGCCAAAGCAATGAAATATTTATTAAATATCTTATTTATATTTTTAATGTATGTATTAGAAAACACAACCAAAATTTGAAAGTCTAAAACTAATTTATTAATTATCTTAATTTATGATCATGTTATGTTGGAAGCATAGTCGAAGCATAAGATACAAAATTATATAAAAATCAAACCACCCATAATTCTGAGATTAATACGTACCATAGATTTAGTGTAGTTTGATAAAAACTTTTATATATATATATATATATATATATATATATATATATATATATATATATATATATAATTTGATATTCTGTTTGATAAATGAAAGGAATCAAAGTTAAAAAGTTGCTTTCTTCTTGTTTTATCATTTAAACAATGAAAGAATATATATATATATATATATATATATATATATATATATATATATATATTACATTTTTTTCTTATAATATATTGAAAATCAATATTTCACTTTTCATTTTATAACTTTTTTTTAATTTCTATCTAATAATAATGTTTTTTTTTTCACTAATACTCAATAATATTATTATAGTGTATAGTCAATTTATTCAATTTTTTAATTGGAATTTTATGTATGAATTCCAAGATGAAATTTATTTATATATTATAATGTTATTATATTTTTAATGAATATTAAATTTTATGACACCTAATTTAAAAAAAAATCTTTTATCATAAAAAAACTTTTTATTTTGAGAAAAAAACCTTTCCATTGATGCAGAATTTTTCATCATATTCTCTTCTCTCATTTTGAGGGAAAATTTTATATTTTAAATATTGTTAAAGTTGATTTTGATATTATTTTATAAATTGTAATATACTTAAATTAATTTTATAAAATCAATTCAATATAACGAGAATTATAATCTTCTATATATTATAAATAATTTTGTGATATGCAATACCATAAATAATTTTGTGATATGCAAAGTCAATGTGAAATTTTCCCATTTCACTACTACAAAATATACTTTCTACGTCGTCATTTAACGTCGGTTATAGCTGAGACGACGTAGAAAGTACTTTCCACGTCGATTCCCAGATGAACTGACGTTGAAAGTTGAATATTAAAAACATTCTACGTCGGTTCTTAGTCAACCGACGTAGAAAGTACTTTCTACGTTGGTTCCCATATAAGCCAGACGTTGAAAGTCTTTTTTTATTTTGGTCGGAAAGTCTTTTTTTTCACCCAAAAACTCACTTAAATTTGAAAATTGTCATTGATAGGATTTGAACCTAGTACTTTAGAATTAGATACTGATACTCCAACCACTAAACTACTAGAATTTTCCGATAATAACTTACAAATAAATTATATTTATATACAAATAAATATATATCCATGTAAATATATATTTATTTGTATATATTTTCTCGGAAAGTATTTTTATTTTTATTTTCGACTAAAAATTCTCTTAAGTTAATGAATTGTCACTGGTAGCATTAGAACCCAGTATTTTAGGGTTGAAAGTTAATATCTCAACCACTAAACTACTATAATTTTTTGATAAATAACTTACAAATAAATTATATTGGTATTTTTTGATCGAGGGTGAAAGTGTGATTGACTCTTGCTTGAGTGAAAATATGTTAAAGCTCACGGAAATTCACTTACTCAAGTCTCGCTTGAGCGAAAATTGGTATTTTTCGCTTGAGAGCAAATAACGCGTTTCCCAAATTTATTTTATATCATTATATAAATAAAATTATAAAGATTATATTCTGTCATTAAATTACAAACTCATATAAAGATACATGCTCACAAATTTAACATCAAATTTTGAAAACCCACTCGACACACACTTTTACTTTCGAATGTGCTCTCACATCCAACATATAAATATATAACTATATAAATATATCAAAATATATAAATATATTTGTATTTATATATTTACACGGATATATATTTATTTGTATATAAATATAATTTATTTGTAAGTTATTATTAAAAAAATCTAGTAGTTTAGTGGTTGGAGTATCAGTCTCCAACTCTAAAGTACTTGGGTTCAATCCTCTCAATGAGAATTCATTAGAACCGACGTTGAATCATTAAGAAAGTATTTATAATTAAGAGATATTTATTATAATTAATCAAATAGGATATTACTAATCTTCTTAAGAAATATTATAATTACATACGTTGACGATGGTAAAATAATCTAATAAAACATTACTTAACTTCCTTTACATGGTTTAAAGTGGTAGTAATAGAATCCGTTGGAAAAATAATTGGATTTGATTTTCACCAGTAAAATTTTCATCTCATTATATTTCCAAATCCTAAAAAGAAAACATATTGTCTAGTCCAATCACAAAAATGTGTACAATGTTTATTGTAACGTGAGAATTGACCTTACCACGAGTGATGTTAATGGTGCGTTAGTTTGCTTAGGACGATGTCCTACCATGTACCAAGTAGCAAACATGTAACGTTGGTGAAAGGACAAATGTTAACAGAAATCCAACAATTTAACCACTACGAACGCTGACCAACAAATTTTATGTTATTCATCAACCACATACCCTCCCTTTCAATATTCAATCCAACCCATTAATTTCATTCAACAACTTCAACTCTTGACCTTATCAAAAACTTAACGGGTCAAAAATAGCCAAAATCTCAATTTGCTCTTCAATTTTAATCAATCATGTTAATTTAAGGTAGGGTTGAATGAATCATACATGTTTGTACCAAAATTAATGAATTACCACCTTTTTTAGTTTAAAATATAAACATACACCTACCAAGCGCGTAAATTCATTAACATAATCACTTACGTTAACATTTTCACTAACATAATAATGTTAGTTCTTAATTGTACTGAAACCTAAATAATGTAAGTTTTAATAAAAATAAATCTCAATCATAAATTTTTATTTATTTTATGGCAAAATAAAAAAGAGTAAAAAAAAAAAAGTTTATTGTGAAGAGTTTGTAGACGTAACTTATTTGAAGAACTCTTTCTCTCTGATTAAGCTCAAAAGATATCTATAAAGAGACGAACAACTTGAAGAATTCTTTAAATTATTTTTTCAAGTGTTTTATTTGAGTTATCTTTTTTTAAATAAAAAAACTTATATTTTTTTTCTTTAAAAGGAAAAGTTAATTTATTATTATTAGTGCTAATTGAATATATTGTTTTTAATGGATATAGAAATTTATAAAGAAGAAATTAATTAATTATTTTAAATGATATTTGGAAGACTTTTTGAAAACTAATTATTTATTAATCACAGTTGATTATGTAATTATAATTAATTATCAATTATGAAATTATATTCATAATTGATTATTTACGAATTTAATCGTATATAAGTTCTTGCAACGTAAATTATACACAATACTACATTGACTGTTTGATAAAATAGTAATTAAGTTAATAAATATTAGTTAAAGGTTAGCCAAAATTATCAGGGATAAATTTGAGTGGATGATACTTTGATAACGATTTAAAATTACTTTAACTAAAACAAAATTACAATTAAATGAGGTCAAACTGAAAATATTTTGACTAAGTTAAAGATGACGATTAAGTAAAAACTATCTTGATTAAGCCTAAATTACAGATATTTTTAAATTAATTATAACTTGTAGATAAACTTGTCTCAAGTTCTTATAAAAAATTTTAAGTTAGAGACTTTCGAGTTTTTTTTTTTTTTTTTATATCCAATATGTAACTTTCTTTTTCATTAATTATTTCCATATTAACAAACCCTTAATTAAAAGAAAAAAAGTTACATTGCCAAACTATTAAGAAAGAAAGACAAGTATTAATGATAAACATAATTTAAAAATATAAATATATATATATATATATATATATATATATATTAAATTAAATCACTTTTCTTGATGATTTGAATGTTCGAGTCTTGTAAATAGAAATATACATAATATTATTTAATGTTTATCTAAATATTACACTAATAACATTAAATACATATATTATATTATGTAATATAATATAGTACACCTTCCATTTCCAAACTATAGTTGTTTCAATAATTTAATTCTGTGTCAAAATTATAGTTGTTTTTTAATATAATTTTTTATAATATTTTTCTCATTTATTTCCTTATTAATATATCCTAAAACATTAAGTTTACAAAATCGCTTCATGGAATATAAGTGTTTTAGTTTACAAATATAATAATTAATATTTTCATTAAACTAGAACTACTATTTACCTCCATTATCTTCCTGAAAACTCTTACCATAAAATAAAGAGTATATATAGTATAACCAAAAGTTAGCCTTCGATTAAAGTTGGAATATGTTAGGAAAAATATCATTTAATAAAGTAAATAAAAAAATTCTAATATTTTAGGAAAAATATTATTAAATGAAGTAAAAGTAATTAAAATTTACAGATATTTAAGAAAAGATGTGTGAGTTTGTTTTATAATTGAAAACGAAGGTAAATGTAGTTTTAGTATTTTTATGAATATTGTATTAATTATATATTATATTTAATTGTACTATTATTATGATTACAGAAAAAAAAAAAAAAAAGGAGGAGAAGGAAAAAAGGTGGGAGAAAGTGGAATTACAGGAAGAAGTGGGGTTAGAAGAGGAAAGAAGAAAAATGGTGTTGTGTTGTGTTGGAGTTATTTTATTTATTTAATTAATTAAATAATTATTTATTTATTTATAAGCTATAGCAGGTAACTCGCACATAGTACCTCACTCATTCCATTCCGTGTCCAAAGTTGCAAGTTATCTAAGCCAAAGCCCACTTTCTGTTTCGCTCTCTTCTCTTTTCTTTCCGGCAACACCATGCCTTCACGCCCCACACACCAATTCCTCCATTTCTGAGATCCCCACCTTCTCATCCTCAGGTACCCTTCTTTCACATTTCTATTTCCTCTCTTCCCCCCTTTACAAAATCAATCATTTTTTTTTTTCTAAATTAATCTTTTATTCGGATCCGAATCTGGCCGCCGCTCCTTGAATTGGATCGGACCACACCCTTTTTCTCAAATTTCATTTTTTCAGCACGCCTTTACCGTTTCAATCAACCTTGTTTCATTTCCTATTCTCGTGAATTTTACAGATGGTTCTCTCTCCCTTGCTTGGAATCAGGCCGGAGAATTTGCTGGGCGAGTTTCAATTTTGAATCCTGTCGGTGATTCATTCGGTATTGCCCTCGCGTTTTTCTCTCTCTATTTTCGCCAGAGTTGTGGGTTTTTGGTTTCTAGAGGGGGTGGTTTGTTTTTAAGTGTAAGGCAATTATGGAATGAGTGAATTGATTAAAGATTGGTGGCATGTTGATTGTTTGATGAATTTGTTTGTATGGGTAGAGCCGGTATATGAATTGAAAGGATTGTTGGGATAATAATAATGATGATAATGGTTTTTGCTTCTTCTGCCTTTCATGGTTGATTTTCCATCTGCTATGGTTTTGTTGGAGTGTGCCGAGGATTCCTTGTCATGACAAAGAAATTACGTTTGGGTTGTTCTTTGCAGGCGGAAGAGGATGGACAGAAAGTGAATAACTTTCTGGAAATGGATAGGGGGGAAGGAGTGAATGATGGTTTTTCTGGACCTGGACCAAATGATTCGCTTCTCCCTGGTCTAATTGATGATGTTGCCTTGAATTGTCTTGCTTGGGTTAGTGGATCCGATTATACCTCACTATCGTGTATTAATAAAAGGTTCAATAAACTGATTAATAGTGGGTATCTATATGGGTTGAGGAAACAATTGGGGGCTGTGGAACATTTGGTGTACATGGTTTGTGATCCAAGAGGATGGGTGGCATTTGACCCCAAAGTAAACAAGTGGATGTCATTACCTAAGATACCTTGTGATGAGTGCTTTAACCATGCAGACAAGGAGTCCTTGGCTGTGGGCTGCGAACTGTTGGTCTTTGGCCGGGAAATGATGGAGTTTGCGATTTGGAAGTATAGCATGCTTTGCCGTGGCTGGGTGAAGTGCCAGGGGATGAACCAGCCTCGCTGTTTGTTTGGATCTAGTAGTCTTGGTTCAATTGCTATTATTGCTGGAGGAAGTGATAAGTATGGAAATGTTCTAAAATCAGCTGAGTTGTATGACTCTTCATCAGGCATGTGGGAACTTCTACCGAGCATGCACACACCACGTAGATTGTGTTCTGGTTTTTTTATGGATGGCAAATTCTACGTGATTGGTGGAATGTCAAGTATAACTGTTTCATTAACTTGTGGAGAGGAATATGATCTCAAAACAAGGAATTGGCGGAAAATAGAGGGCATGTATCCATATGTTAACGAGGGTGTTCAGGCGCCTCCCCTTGTGGCAGTTGTGGATAATCAGCTATATGCAGTTGAGCATGTAACTAACATGGTGAAGAAATATGACAAAGAAAAGAACACCTGGAATGAATTGGGGAGACTTCCAGTCCGGGCAGATTCTTCAAATGGTTGGGGGTTAGCTTTCAAGGCTTGTGGAGAGCAACTTTTGGTTGTGGGTGGACAAAGGGGTCCGGAAGGTGAAGCAATTGTGCTAAGTTCATGGTGTCCTAAGTCAGGGGTCAGGAATGGCATCATAGATTGGCAGGTACTCGGTGTGAAGGAAAACGTCGGGGTGTTCGTTTATAATTGTGCTGTTATGGGTTGTTGAGATAATTTTAGATTGACTCAACAGAGGATGCTGGTATCCACAATCTGACTTAGCCTTGAAGGGTGCCTCCATGTTCAATCACCTCATTTATCGAGTTAATTGTTGAAGGGATAGCTTTCCCTAGCTCAGAATTTGGTTTTTCTTTTAACATGGTTTATTTGGATGTATTTCTCACATTCCTGGTCCATAATTCTAAATTGCTTTTCAGATTACTGAGTAGGCTTACATAGATATGTTCTGTTATCTTTTTTAGCCAAATATGTAAACCAATAAATGAAAGATTTTCATTGTTTAATGTTCATTGCTTGCTGCTTCTTTCATGTTGTGTGTGTGTATATATATATATATATAGTATGTTTGTCAAAATCTGTCCCCGTTGTTCATGGTTAGAGAAATCAAGTGTGTTGTAGAGGAAGGGGTTCTCAAATTGTTTTGTCTGACTAGAGTTTTAAGAGTTGAGTTTCTCTGGCGCTGTAGCCAAGGTGCTCAGAAAAGGTGAAATGATGTAGACCGCTTCTAATATTTTGCTCACCATTCTATCACCACATTTGGCTCAAAATTTGAATGTTACATTTGAAGCATAGGTGAAAACAAAGTTACCAACTATTTTGAAATCATTTTCTTTGTGCTACCCTTTTGTGTAACATGAAAACGAGGTCCCTTAATGTCTATAATGTGTTCGTTCTCCTTGTCTATCCGTCCAGCTGTACTTCCTGAATTAAGACCTAGTTTTCTTTTTCCTATTTATGTGGCATACACTTAATCAACAATGTGACCTTAAAATGGTCTCTCTTCTCAAGCCTTTGGAAGATTAATTGGGACCATGCTTCATTACCCTATTTGATTCCTTTGTCCTCTGCGTTTGTAACCCTTTATTTAATGCTTCACAGTCCTTAGTACATAGTGTACATTTCATCATCAATTTGATGTTGAGATGAACAGATGGTTTGACCTCTTTCCCCGCCAACCAACTACGGGACTTTGTGAATCATGAAACAAGCCTCAGCGCAATGTCCACTTTATTTATTGATTAATCATATTTGCACATGCATCTTACATATTTTAAGTCATTCCTTCACATTTTGAGTTATGCCATTCTTTTCTTTTACTGTCATGAGATGTTCTCAAATTATTTGATCCAGAAAGCTTTACTGTCCTTTATTTTTATTTTCCTGCACACTGTAAGATAGCAGTGCAGTGAGTTAGAGAATGAGATGCATTTTTTTACTACTGTTTGAGAATGCGATCTGTTCACTTTTACTGCAAAGAACTAAAATTTCCATCCACCCAAAATTTTTCAACTAGGCTTCTTCGGATAGCCATTTTTCTATTGGACAACAGTGCGTTTGTGAATACATTGCTTACTATTTCTAGGAAGTATTTGGAATCTTGTTAAAAAAAAAATGCTCTGATGCAACTTAGTCCTTACTACAGAATCATAACACAATGCCAATTAATCAGAGGGGATTGTAGCCAACGGTCTAACATATAGAGAAAACAACAAAGGAATAAGTATACCATAATCCAATTCCTCTTATGAAGGCACTATTATTCATATCGTTATTTTAAAATAGGACGATCATCAAAGCCCGGTAAACGTAAGTGAAAAGGTTAACCAAGATTAAGTGGAAATTGAATCGGATTTAATAAAATAATATATTTTAATAATATAATAATATATTAAATTTAAAATAAGATTTCAATAACTGTAAATCATTGTAATCCATATAAATATTATTTGAAAAAATATTATATAATAATAAGAATGATTTGTAAAGTATATAAATAAAAAATAACAAATAAATACTTGGAATATAAAGTAATTAGAAAAAAAATACTTAACTTGAAAATAATTAGAAAAAAAAATTACAACTAATTTAAAAATAATTAAAAAAAATTGCACCTAACTTTAAAACAATTAAAGAGGAAAATAACATCATATCTTTTACTGCATTTAATTTTAAATTTTATACATTTTATTTTATTTCAATACATGGTTATAAAATTCAAGAATAACAGTTTACTACCCACTCATTAATATCAATTTTACTCATCCTAGTATCCAATTTTAGAAACTATTATAATTTTAAGAAATCTCAATTTTAAAAAACCCTAATTTTAGAAAATCTCAAATTTAATTTTATGAAATATGCACTGAAAATCCTTCTAAAAATATTATTTCTTTACAATGTGGCATCTCCAAAATTGTTTTATCAAATTAATTTTTGAAATAAAGAGATTATAATCCTTAAAAAAAAACCTCATATTACCCTTAACCCGTCTAATATTTATCTATTTTTGATTGATCGGTTCATTATTCATCCAATAAAAGAGTTTTAGATCAATTTTCAACCTCTCGAATTTTGATAATCATTATTATTAGAGTAAAAGAGGATAAAAGAGATTATATGTTTTTATTTTAGATTTAATGGTTAATTTGTTTATGTTATTCAATTTTAGTATTTTAATTTTAGGTCATAAAAAAAGGAAAATTTAAGATATAAACTTTTAAACAAATTAGCATATCCAATAGTCAAAGTCCAAAAAAAAAATTGAACTAATATCCATATTAGGATTATAAGATGAAATTGAATGAAGTTTAATTGAAACACTTAAATGCGTTTGTTTTAACGTTGATATTCATTTTATGCTTGTTCATCAGAAGTTACAAATCATTATTACCTCATGTAAATTTTCGTATTTGATGTGTGACTTTGCTACATTATATGTTGAACATGAGTAACTGCATACAAAGCGTTTAGACACTGACACCAAAGCTTGATTTGATGACAAAACTGTCACCATCCTTTCCACGACCACCTTCCTATTACCACGAGAAAACTGTCATCATCAAGAATGATGTCAATATTCGGAAGAACAGTCTTTGCATGGAGCCTGATAAGCTCAAACCTCGTAGTTTTGCTTGACCAATCTTTTGGGACTGACATTGATGTCTCAATATTAGCTAGAGGAGACAGGAATAACCGAAGAAGATGATGAAGAGGTTTATCCTCATGTGCTGATGGTGGAGGCCTAGGCTCGACCATCAAACTGTTATGAAAATGAGAGAAAGCGATCTTTTCAAACTACTTTCGCTAGTTTTGATAAGAGAGAGAGAGGGGCGAGTTCAACGTCCAAGTAATAAAACAGGTTCTCTGGGTCAACAGGAAGAAGTATGAGCTGCTGGAGATATATGGCATTACAAATGATGGTGATGACCATATATCTGGTAGAAATTGTGTAATATGTTCGTCAGAACCACGAGAAATAGCTGTGTTCCCCTGTCGACACCAGGTAGTTTCCATTTATCCATTCTCCTTTTGTTCCACCTTCTTCTTCTGCTTTTAGTTTTAGATAGGTAATTTATTGACTGATGTTTTAGTTGGAACTGTATCTGATAGATACCCACAAGTTAGTTAGGTTAGTTTGGTCGAAGAAATACAAGGGTTTATGTTAGAAAGAAGGAGAATTTGAAATACAAGGGCTTTCCCTCCAGTTTCATTCAATAAAAACCAACTCTTTCTCACTGTTCTGATACAAGTTCTATCAGTATGATTGTGTACCAGCCATGTAAACTACCTTCTTGTTTAATTGTTTTTAAATGGATTCAATTCTTTAACATATAATAAATACATGGTATAATTGTTATTTTGTTTGGTTTGTTAGTTTTTGATTGCTGCAACGACTTACTACGGTTGAATTTGATTTAGAGTAAGATACTTTCTCCTTTCCAATTTGGATTACATTGTATATATATTTGTGGATTAGGTCGAGAGTTTCAACTTTGCACTGATATGCTTTATTTGATGCATGATGTTTCCACATGGTTTTGTCTATAGCCACATCCAAGCTAGATTGAGAATTAGAGAAACTGATAACTTTAAAATGCTGAATGATGAATAATTCTCTTTCTCTTGATTTGGATAATTTTCCCTTATGACATTTGGGGTGTAGTGCATGTGCCCTGACTGTGCCAATCTTCTGAAAGTTCATACAACCAACTTTCCCATTTGTCAGCAACCAATTGAGAGATCTGTGAAATTAAAGGTAATCAGTGAAGGTCTACATTCAACTCAATGTTAGTTTTTTTTCTTCCACGGCCGGGTTCCTGATTTTCTCAATCATCCTTGTGCCCTAGACATAATAAAGATGAACGCAATTTCAGAAAGGTATATATATATATATATATATATATATATATATATATATATATATATATATATACATTTGTGATATATTTAAAAAAATAGCTTATTAGTTTCTAGGAAATGCTATGTATTAAATTTTAAATTTTGAAGGAAATATCTTATTTCTTAAGATATTCACCTTACATAGTTAACTATGATGATTAAGATTTAGCATTCGGATTGAGAGATTAATTATTTGATGTATTATATAATTGTTCTATTTGATTTATTTATTTATGATGAGAAACATTAAATATTTTGTAATATTTATATAAATGAACAAAATTTTATTAATATCTTAAAGGATTTTTCAAGAAGTAAACTCTAATATTAAATTATTGAAGAAGTGAAAAAGAAATTTAATATTTTAAATATTTTGTTTAATATATATATATATATATATATATATATATATATATATATATGGGATAATATTTTTTAAAACAGTTAAATCTATGATTTAAATATTAAAATTATTTATATTTTTGTATAATTTAATCTATATTTGTAAGTGTTATAGGATGTTATAATGTTATTCTAATTTTATTTGTTTAAAATTCATTTTTTTTAAATCTAATCAAAATGATTCATTAATTAGATATAGGGTGACAATTTTTTTAACATATTTAAAGTACGTATCGGATGGAATCTATATAATTTCTACTTTATACCCAATAAGGATTGATAGTCTTTTTTTTGTTCAAATTTTACTGTGTATCTGTTTAATATAATTTTCTTGATAAATTTTATTATGAGTTTTTAAATACTTTGTATAAGTTAATAAATAAAATTTTACAAAAATATTTTTTAAAG